CCAGAAGCCAGAATTGTCCATCTAGAAATCGAAAAGGGAAAATATTTACACTTCTGCTCCATTCCTTAATGTCAAGAATGGCTTCATGGGCATGAATTTCTTTCATTATACACTTTGGGTGGGTTGAGGGGGTGAAAAGTCAGAGAAGAGTCAGGGCAGAAAGCAAGAGGCAAGTGGCCTCAGGCCAAGACCCAAAGGGAGGCATTATCAGGCCACATCAGCATGAAGCTCTATGAAGCCCGGTGTGGGGGGCGAGGGTGGGCGGGCGGCGCTCACCAGCAGAACAGCAGGTGCATTAAGCAGCTGGCCTACGAGGGTGTGAAGTTGTGTACAAGAAGGGTCCAGGTGTTAAGAAGTGATCCTGCAGTTCTAACCAAGTTTGCAATTGCTGCATGGATCCACAATCTCAAAAGGACCACAGAAGGGTTGCCTACAGAGCAGCATATTAATCCATGATTTGTCTACACTCAGAGGAAAATGGCAGGGGGTCGACTGGGAAAAGAGGGAATACTGCTCCCAGTTGTTTGATTTATAAATTGGAACCCCCTATAAATCACAACAAATAAAAAACACGTATTCTTTCCATCATTCGTTTGTCCCAAGTGGGATTCTTTTCCCCAAATTTCCACTCATTTCTAAAATCGGAAGCCCCATTTCCTTGTCGGGGAGCATGATGGGGGGGAGCGGCAAACTGCAGCTCAGTGGTTCTCAAAGCGTGGTTCAAACTAACGTCATCATCATCACCTGGAAGCTTGTCAGAAATTCATATTCTTAGGCCCCTCCCCAGATTCCCTGGATCAGAAACTCTGGTGGGGGCGGGGAGGGGTGGCTAGGGCCAGCAATCTGTTTTAAGGAGACTTCCATGTGATTCTGATGCACGCTCAATTTAAGAAGTACTGCCTGAGAACGCTTCATCAGTCACACGCTCTCAACCAGGTTTTCAGGCACTCATGGTAGAGCACGAGACATGACGTGTTGACTCGGTTTTTACTTAATACCGGCAAACACTGAATATGCCTGCATTCATAGTTTTAGGGTTGCTGTCACAAGTCACCTCAAACTGATAAGCACTGAGTAACATATAGAATTATTGAATCGCTATGTTGTGCACCTGAAACTAATATAACACTGTGTGTTAACTGTACTGGAATTAAAATTAAAAAAAAAAAAAAAAGAAACTCCCCCAAACCCCAAAACAAAACAAAACCCAAACCAAATTACTACAAACCTCATGGCTTAAAACAACAGAAATTCTTTTCTCTCACGGTTCTGGAGACCAGATGTCCATAGGGAAGGTGTTGGCAGGTCCAGGCTCCCTCCAAAGGCTCTCAAGGAGAATCCTTCCCGGCCTCTTCCAGCTTCTGGTGGCCCTCAGTGTTCCTTGGCTTGGGGCCACCGTGGAAGTCTCCGCCTAGCTCTCACAGAGTCTCCTATGCGAACCTCCCCCAACGCCCCCCTCTCTCTCCTTCCTCTTATATGAACACCAGTTATTGGCTGTAGGGCCCGCCCTAAATCTCGAGAGACGTCATCTGGAAATCCTTAACTTAATTACAGAGCAAAGACCCTATATTATGGTCACATTCACAGGTCCTGGAGCTAAGACTTGGATTTACCTTTTGGGAGGTTAAAATTCAACCAACTACAATGTCCAGCATACTAGAACCCAAATCTTCCTAAAACCCCCCAGTTTTTGTTTTGTTTTTTCACAGATAAGCAAACCTAAAATCCAGTCATTTAGTTACCTTTTCCCTGCTCCTTGGGCTATAAGGAATCACAAGTAACTGGGATGTTAACTCTCCAGCATGGAGAACAAGTGTTATCACCCCACACTGATGTTCCAAAGTACAATGACTCCGTGTCCATGGCTGCACAAATGAGCCCGTCTCCCTCCTTCACCCCACATGTCTGAGAAGCATGGTAATTAATCACATCCAAATGCCTGGTTGCTCACAGGTGATACTTGTCCCAGGAAGCTGAAGGATGCAATTACTACTTCAAACACTCGCTGCCCTGGAAACCAGCCACCTGTGCCCCAAAGTGAGCGCCCGCTACGTGCTGAGCTTGTGTCCCAGGGGCCACTGCTGCTCCTGGCAACAATGCCCAGCTCTCTGATTATAGCAGTGGGGGAAATATGGCTTCTTCTCTGCCACCTTATCCCAAAGGTGGCAATATGCCCTCTCAACTTATGCACAAGCCCAAACCTGTCCCAGGTTCTCCGAGTGAGTCAGTTCTTTGAGTGGTGAAGGGCCACCTTGCTACATAACTCCAGGGGGACAATTCGTGTTCTCTTCCCTGAGAATCATGCCCTTGTGGGCCATTCTTGCCTGCCCACCCCTGACATGGCCAGAGAATGCATCCGTGCTTGGGATCTCTCCCTGCCTCAGAATCTTGGCCTAACTCACCTCCGTCTTGACTATAAAGGAAATTGTCCCTTCCCCCAAAGTGACTTATGCCCAAATTGATTGGCAAGGGGAATTCCATTGCCTTCATGGGAAGAGCCACCCTCGCCTCACTCTCGGGAGTATAGTCTAGCCCCATGGCCCAGGAAGACAAATTCCAAAAGCTCTGACATTCTAATAGGTCCCTAACTAAATGTGAGTTCAATGTTGTCGATGCTCTCCTTGCTGTAAGTATAATTGTTGAAAGACATTTGTAGACATTAGACATCACAATGTTGGAAACCAAAAGAGTTTTTAAGAAAGGAAAGTAAACTCTCTCATGTACTTGCCAAGTGTCAAGCAAAAGGTGCTGTCTGGAAATGGCATAAATATGGACTGGCCTCTAGCCCTGGCCAATGTTGGGTGTGTGTTTTTAAAGTTTTTATTTAAATTCCAGTTAGTTACCATGCAGTGTAATATTAGCTTCATATGTACAATATAGTGATTCAGCACTTCCATACATCACCCGGTGCTCATCACAAGTGCCGTCCTTAATCCCCTTCACTTATGTTACCCATCCTCTCACCCACCTCCCCTCTGCTAATCATCAATGTGCTCTCTATAGTTAAGAGTCATTTCTTGGTTTTCCTCTCTCTCTTTTTCCCCCATTGCTCATTTGTTTTGCTTCTTAAATTCCACACACATAGGACTGAAATCATATGTTGTCTTTGACCTATTTTGCTTAGCATAATACTCTAGCTCCCTCTGTGTCATTGCAAATGGCAAGATTTCGTTCTTTGTTATGACTGAGTAATATTCCATTGTATAGAGAGACCACATCTTCTTTATACATTTATCAGTTGATGAACACTTGGGCGGTTTCTATAATTTGGCTACTGTAGATGACACTGCTATAAACATCAGGGTGCATGTATCCCTTTGAATTAGTGTTTTTGTATTCTTGGGTAAATACCCAGTAGTGTGATTGCTGGATCACAGGGTAGTGCTATTTTTAATTTTTGAAGAAACTTCATACTGTTTTCCAGAGTGGCTGTACCAGTTCGCATTCCCATCAACCAGCACTGGCCAACTTTGCATTTCCCTGAGGCTCACAGATGGGATGCCGTGTGCATCAGATCTGAAGGCTTGATTACTTGCTCCTCATTCTTTCCTTGATCATCCTGTTTGGAAGAGACTGAGTGGAAACCACGTGGTGTTCCACTGGGAAGATAAACAGGGGCCTGTCCCATCTGCAGTTCAATTGGCTTGTCTGAAGGGACCTCCTCTTCTCCCTCTACACCTCCTGTACCTCCCCCAGCAGAGCCAGCCCCCAGGCTGGGAAGCTGGGTGATGATTTTCACCTGAAAACAAAGAAGCTTCATAGGAGTGAGGACAGGAAGAAGTAACTGGAGCCAACCATTGCATTTCTTTCCTTGGCTCAGCCTACCTGGGCTTCATTTGTACCCATTCTCCTCTTAGTAAATGAGAATATCTTTGCCTCTCATGTCTTGTGTCCTTTTTTCTATCTGGGGCATAGGGAAAGCAACAAATGTGCCCAAGGGCATACAGTCGGCAAAGGACAGAGCCAAGATACAGAAAGTGAGCAGTCTGAATCTGTGTGTAGTTCCCTTTCAGGGGATCCTAGGTCCCCAGAAAGCCACAGTTACTGAAAGAAACATCCCAATACCAGGAAAGCACTCTATCTCCTAGCTGGTTCCCACTGCCCATCTTCAATGGCTTCACCACACTGCCTCTTCTTACCAAACTTCCCAGCTTTTCTTCCCAATTCCTCCCTTCGGATGCCCACTGTTCGGGTCACACTGGGCAGTCCAGGACCTCCACTTCCTTGCTTGGATTGATGCAACAATCTCTCTGCCCCGGCTCTCCATTTTCCTTCCACTCCAGAGTTATCCTGCCTTCTGCAAAACAAATGGAATCGCTTCATGTTCTTACTTTAGAACCTCACTCATTTGTCCGGCACCCGCAACCTTTCACCACCCACCGCATCTGTCTCCCCAGCATTGTCTCCTGGCGCCAAGGCTCCTAGTCACACTGACGGCACAGTATTCCCCGAGTCTGACATACGGCTCTAGGTTGCCGAGCTCTGACTGTGGTTTCCCCTGCCTTCCCACAACATCTTCACCTGCTCAACTCCTGCACATCCTTCCAAATCAAACTCAGATAGTTCCTTTGAGAAACCTTCATGTCTATTCCTCTTGTGAAACCTCTGACCTTGAACTCCTCAAGGTCAGAAGCGATATGATTTTAAGTATGTCTGGTACCAAGTACAGTGGCTGTACATAGGACGTTCTTAATGTGATTTTGGGAAAGAATGTTTTGTTGAGCATTTAGTATGGGTCAGGGCCTCTGCTAAGTGGGTCCTAAAAATATAAAAATTTAATAACAAAAACTCTTGGGATGCTCTTTGAGGCTGAACGGTGAATGCGCTCTTTCGTATCACAGCACCCTTACTTCTTTTAAACTCACTTTCAGGGCACCTGGGTGGCTCTGTTGGCTGAGCGTTCAACTCTTGAATTCAGCTCAGGTCATGATCTCAGGGTTGTGAGATCCAGCCTGAGGCTCTGCGCTGGGCATGGAGTCTGCTTGAGGTTCTCTCTCTCCCTCTTCCTCTGCACCTTCCCCACTCACATGCATTCAAGTGCCTGCATGCTTTCTCTCTTTCTCTCTCTCTCTAAAATAAATCTAAAAAAAAAGAAAAGAAAAAGAGAAATTCACTTGCAATACCTAAGATTTGTAACAGGTTGATAGTACCTGCATGTTCTTTTAGCAAAAAGCTTATTTTAGCAAAAAAAGTGGTATTTGAAACAATTTCTCTTTGAGTATAGTTGATACACAATGTTACGTTCATTTCAGGTATACAATGTAGTGATTCAACTTTTCTATATGTTATGCTGAAAAGTGGTATTTTTATAAAACTTTTGTATAACAAGTCCTTAAATAAATATCTTTGGTGGGTTAATTCCAGTGCAACAAATCTTTTAGCCTTGGCAGATGTATACAATTCCTGAAAAAACAGATCACTACACATGCACATACATGTGGGCGTATTATTAACGTTCTTCCAGTGCACAGTGGGGGCAGGCCCCGGGTCCAGTCACAGCCCCAGGATCCCGTGCTACTGAATGCAGAACCTGGATCATGCAGGTGTTACGTCTGACGACTTAACCACTGAACTTCTGTCCTTTGTGATGGCAGGTGACCGATGCAAGGAAGAGAAGGTGTCCTTACAACACAGGTTTCTTTCTCATGGCGTAGTCTCAGAGAAGGGAGTGACAAGAGAAAAATCATGTATCCCATTGAAATACAAAAATAGAACTGGTAAACATGCACAAGATACGATAATTCCCTTGATTTCATTCCACTGAGCGTGGCTCGTACAAAAACTAACAATGTCAACTACTTAGAATTTTGCTCATTAGAGCAAGAGTATACTTGGCTCAATCGAGCAAGAAGCTTTTCCCTTGATACTCTCATCATTCTTGACAAAGACCCATTCAGAGGATGCAGGGACATACATCCTGTCCAGATTTCAAACTCGTGGAACCATTAGTGCTGGAGCCCAGAGGTGCCTGGGCCCTCCCTGTCCTTCCCCCTTCCCTGTTGGTCCAGCGGACTCACATTCTCGGCTGAAATCTGGGTTCACAGGCTTCAGCTGGGGGGGCACACTCTTGCCCCGATGAAGGTAGCACAAAGGACTGGACAATGGAGAAGTTCCCTGCATCCCAGTTCTCCGAGAGCGGTCAGCTACTACTTACAGCTGCTTGGGGCCCCTCCGGTGGGGCGGTTAGGGGAGTACGGAGGGGTGATCAGCAGCGTGCACCGCTTAGATGCTACTCTGTGTGGGCTCAGGCAATACTCTGGGGATCGGATGGAAGAAGCAAACTTCTTTCTTGAGTCCTTGGGCCAGTTCAGTGCAGACTGCAGTTAGGACTGCTGGGGAGCATTTTTCTGGAGATGTAGTGACCCCTTTGAAGACGCTCATAGCTCTGAGCCCCTGGCTGGGGATGTTTAACACAGGGCAGCCTAGAATAAGGCACACAGTAGGTGCTCAATAAATATCTGAGGAACGAATATGCTATCTAGTGAATTAAGCTTAGCAGTTTCCCTCTGGGGCCTCTGCTTTTGTACGGAGGAGAAAGCCTTCCCCAGTCTTTCTAGGGCAACACTCAGGTTGACGGAGCGCTCCACGCCATCTGGATTCTCTTGCATGGGTCCTTTCGATTATTTAATTCTTTTATTCCTTTTGTTTAACAAATATTTATCAAAAACCTACTCTCTGCAGGCACTGATTGAGCTTAACATGTGTAAATGCAATGGCATAGATATGCACCTGCTTGGAGCTTACAGTCTTGTAGAATGTAGTTCTCTAAGCCCATTTTCATGGTTGGAGGCTTACATAACTGAATAATTTAACCAGACCAAAGCAACCAACCAAACCAACCAAGCCAACACACAAAGAAACTATATCCAAAGCACAGCCCCTTTTGGCCTTCAGAACTTCTCATGGCCATCAAGTGACTCACATGACCAGATCATCCAGACTAGAAAGAACCTTGAGAGGTCATTTTAGATTTGCCCCCGCATATTAGTCACAATAGGTTGGGTCATGCTGTAGCAACAAATCAACCCTGAAATCTCTACCATTGAATACAATGGAGATGTATATCTTGTTTACACAAAGCTTGCTATGGATGGCTTCTTCCATATCATGACTCAGGGAAGTCTGAGTCTGTCCAGTGACTCAGCATCTCACCCTGAGGCATCCAGATCACCGCGGTTTGGAAGGAGAAATGATAGGCAAATAAATACATAGGGGTGGTTCACTGCCTTAGTCTGGAAGTGACACTTCACTTGTCCTCAGTGTTTTGGCCAGCACACGTTGCGTGACCCCACCCAGCTGTAAGGGGGTTGGGAGTGGAAGGGAACACATGGACATTCAGTAGGCATTAAATGTCTCAGACATGCCCGTTCTTTACACAAAAGTCCTCCTGAATCATTATTGTGCAGAATTGAGAAACAACTTTGACACAGTTGGTAGATGAGAGTTAGAGGATAGATTTTACAAATAAGTGGGCCAATTTATTTCCTGAGTTCTTTATCTGGGAATAATTTTGAAACAAAAGGAATATAGGAAATTAACTATATTATAGTTATAATGTAGGCTCACTTTACTGGATAGAAAGCATCAACTTCTTTCTTTGTGTTTCTTCTGCCATTGGGGCTTTTATTAAGTGTTGTACCATCTCATTTATTTCTAATTCAGCTGTAGATTTCTATTATTTACTAAGTGTGCCCTGATTCTGTCCTGGCTTGCTCAGGCACATTTTCCAATAAACAACAGTGGTGTAATTAGCACTAGATCCATGAAAGAAGTATGTTGAAATATGGTAATTTATTCCATTTGCTGATACAAGTTTATTCCTGGGTAGCATTTTTCCAGATCAATATGGATTTGATTATTCTTAAACCTTCACTTCCTAGTGATGGTTCTTTCATTATATCATACATAAATCATCTGATTATAATTCAGGGGCAGGAGCCCTTGACTTCAGTTTTTGCATTTGTAGTTGATAGTACTTGAAATGTTGGTTGCTTCATTATGGAGTCCAAGGGCACTATTACTTCTTGAAATTGGAAAACACTATGCTTAGCTGAGTTAAAAAAAAATATACCAATTTGGGGGAAATTGAGTAATGCCAACCTGATCATCGGGGGCTGGGAGTGAAATTTTGCCTTGCAGCAACTCATCATCCAGAGGAAAAAAGCCTTCACCTTGGAAGGAAAGCTGGAGCTTTGGTGGGAACCCAGACACTCAGAGGGGTAAAAGACTAAGCCCACGACCTCTCTTGGCACTTTTTATTTACTGAACCAAGATTTTTAGGAATCTTCCTTTTGACTTCCGTCCAAAATATTTTTTGAGCCTCTCTTGTATTTTAGGCCCCAGGAAAACAGTGTTGAAAAGACAGCCAGGACCCTGCCCCTCACAGAGTAGAGGTTGCAAAGGGGAGAGTAAACTCACTTACAAGACAGTGATAGGGGACATGCAGGGACCCCTGGGAGCCCAAGGCAGAGGTACCTATTTCCAACTTTCTGGGCGCAACTTTTTCATCATGAAGGAAACCTGTGTCCACGGAGAACTGAAGAATGAGAAGTAGTCACATGAAGAACAGATGGAACAGAAGAGACAGAAGTGTGAGTGTTTAAAGCGGATACAGCAGCAAGTCTGGAGAGACTACGACGGTTAACAGGAAGATGTATGTGGTTGGACTTTCATGCCATTTATCTGTGTCATAGGCCCATCATGCAGGGCTATCCAGCAGCTGTGGCTTGTATATTCATGGTCATGTCTAGACTTCTCCATGAGACAAAACGAGCTGAAGACAGAGAGCAGGGGCCAGACCTGAGATCTTGTCTACCACAAAGGTTTCCTAGGTTATGGGCCTTCACCATGAGAACAGATACAATGACTTTCCCAGAGCCCTCCTCTTACCAGGCATGAGGCCAGCTGGATGGAATTCACACAAGCTACGAAGTCAGAGTAAAACACTTGGTCCCTGCACCTTGGGAGAAAAAAAAATTCATCCAGTGTCAGAAACAGTGTCGTCTGGAGGGAGTCTGAGTAGTGAGCGAAGAAGAGGTAAAAACTAAGCACCAAGAGTGGCTAATTTGATTTACAGAATAAAGAGCAGGGGAGGGAAAAGGGAAAGTGGGACAGAAAAGATCTGAGCACTAGGATAATTCTTATAGGAGATACATTTTGGGGTGTCTGCTCAGCGCATGGCTTTCTCTGTTTCCTCACCTGCAGAAACTAGCATTCTGGCAGCATGCTAGCTCGGGGAGTCACCCCTTTTCCTCCAATAGGTGATTTGACCAGGAAGGAGCACCTGATCCAAGTTGAGCCAATCAGAGTTTCTTCCTGAGAATAAGGGGTGAAATGCGGAGAACGGCACCTCAGGAGCTGTGAGGAGCCACGTCTGTCCATGAGCTGCCCAAAGCAAAAGCAAAGGCAGAAGACTAAGCAGACATTTGGTGGGAAACAGATTCAAAAATTGGGATAGAATCCTTCTCAGCTCTTGGTAGTTTTCCTCATCCTGGTTCCAGGCTCTGTCCTGGTTCCAGGCTCTCATGAAGGGGCTGCCCTTCGGTCCTTGGAAGACACATAGTAACCTCCAAATCAATTCTCTTTCCCTCTGTTTCCCTTTCGCTCTAGTTACTTTGAAGTAACTTTTGACAATACTTAAAACCCAAAGAACCTGGCCTAAGACAGCTGCCCCAATCCCTCTAAGTTGTTGGGTTTACTTTCTGGTACTTGTGGTCTCGTCTGTTTGCTAACTTGTTGTGTGTTCCATGGCACAAAGCTGCGCATCCACCTTGATGATCTGATTTGTCTCTAGAATCACCAACCTAGCCGGGGAACAAGTACCTGCTAGTATTTTGCTGAGAAGGCTCTTAAACCATCTCCTCTCCTGCTGGGTAGGATTGTGTCCTTTAACAGCTTAACCCTCCCCGCCCCCCCCGTGTTTTGATTATTTATCTATTGCATCTTCTGAGAAGCTTTCCTGTATTTAGAAGTTACACTGGCGTGGGTTTTCCATAGGGGCTGCTCTTTCTCACTGTGGGCCGAAAGCAAACCAGTGTCTACACCTCTGGTAGATGAACATTGGAGAAGAAGATCCTTCCGAAGCGAAGCTCTGGAACACAGGCTGGACTGCATGCAGCACAAAGGGCTCTTGGGGGATGGATTTCCCACGTGAGAGAGGCGTGGTCTCCCAAGGCTGGTCTCAGATCCCTGAATGCTTATGAAAAATGCAGTCTTCCTAGTCCTGCTGGAGACCTGCTGAGTGAGACTTTCTAGGGATGGGGCCAGAGACTCTGGATTTCAAATAATCTACCCAGGTAATTTTGATGTGTGAAAGCCATTGTTAGACTGAATTTCTCAATAAGCTCACTCTCTTCAATGTATTCATGATAGATCTCAGAACAATTAAAATCAGTTAAACTACACTTCTATTTGTGAAGACAGTCACTCCTGGGAAAAGTGAATATACCTCAGATCCTCCAAATTGTATTGTACACCCCAGCCTCAGATCCTTCCAACCTGACCAATGGACTTGTTATCAGAGTCTCCTGAAGTGGGTGGGACTGGCAGACATGTTGTTTATCTGTTCTGGAAGAAAACAAACAAACAAACAATTGCTAAGGCAGAGTCTCATGAAGTGTGGTCCTCAAACCTGCCGGATTGGAATGACATGGAAAGCCTTGTTAAAAAAGCAGATTCTGGAGTTTGGCCCCGGATCCGCTGAACCAGAACGTCTGTGGTTAGGACCAGGAGATTTGTTTTGTTTAATAAATCTGCAGGCATTTCTTACATATAGGAAAGATTCAGGCCTTCCTGGGATGTCTCTAACTCCAGTTTCATGCTTACATTAAACGACAATAAATGAGCACTGTTAGACCAGATACCTATGGTATCTTTCTGCTACTCTTTCTCTTTGAGATGATGACGATAGTAATCGCAGCAACAGATACTATGTTTTGAGCTCTTACATTGACAGACATAGCGCTAAGAGATTTCCACGCATTCGTTCAGTAAGCCCACATGATGCCATTATTCTCCCACTAGTTAGATAAAAACTCAGGCTCAGAGAAGACATGCACATTTCCCGAGATGATACAACAAACAAGTGGCTAAGAGGGGATTAAAGTGCTAAATGCTCAGGGGCACCTGGGTGGCTCAGTTGGTTAAGCATCCGCCTTCAGCTCAGGTCATGATCTCAAGGTCCTGGGATTGAGCCCCGTGTCGGGCTCCCTGCTCTGCGGGGAGTCTGCTTCTCCCTCTGCCCCTCCTCTGCTTATGCTCTTTCTCAAGTAAATAAACAAAATCTTGAGAAAAATTGCTAAAGAGAAGCAGGGCAAAAGAAAACATATGGAAGCTGCCATTCAGGATTCAACCTTCATATGCCTTAATTATAACTGGAATCTGTTTGGGGCGAGACGTCCCGGGGACCAGCTCCTGTGGGTCACCTCAGATCTCTCTGGGCTCACATGCATCTGTGTCCTTGGTCCTGCTCTCAGCCTGAGCTTCTGCTCCCTCTTCCTTCATCTTTCCCTGATGCTCGCAGGCTCAGCTCCACCTCCAGGCTGCTCTCCCTACACATCCTCCCGGCTTCTGCCTACACTGCCAACTGCCTCAGGCTCTCAGAATCCCTTAGTTTATATTCTCGAGAGAGGGAATCTGATTGGTCCAGTTTACCATGCCGTGTCACTTACGTCACTTATAGATTGCTGGCTAGGTGCCATATTGACGCCAATCATTTTGGCTGAAGAGGAGGAAGAGGGCGGTCATAGAGTAAAACCATGGCTGCCTGAAGGCCATGCTCCCCAGGAAGGTTGGTAAGCAGAACAGGCCTGGTAATTGTCATTTTCCAACACACCTCAAGCCTTCATCCAAAGGCTTTCAGAAGGCCTTTGAATGAAATAAGACTCATCTGCAACTCTCAAGTCCTCATGGTTAGGGTGGGTGAGAACATTTGCTATTTCAGATTTTATGTCTGGTGGAAAGTGGAGTTTGTAAGCTCCTTTAGGGTAGGAAGTTCTGTTTTCTGCATTGCTGTGTTCCAAGCACCTAGAATAGTGCCCAGCACAGAGCAGGTTCTCAATAAATATTTGCTGAATGAATAAATGTTATTGGAGTATCCAGCAACTCCGAAATGTTGTGGATCAGACACGGGAAAATCTGATTTACATACTGCTTTGGTCCTCGCTCCTTGATGGTATTTTAAAGATTTTATTTATTTATTTGAGAGAGAGAGCACACACGGTAGGGGGGAAGGGAAGAGGGAGAAGCTGACTCCCTGCTGAGCAGGGAGCCCGACGTTAGCCTCGATCCCAGGACCCCAGGATCATGACCTGAGCTGAAGGCAGACACTTAACCAACTGAGCCACCTTGGTGGCCCAGCTCCTTAACAATATGAATGCCATCCTAACCATAACATGGACATAACTCTCTAGACAACCCACCTATTATTTGCTTAAAAGCTAATACAAATATTTTGGGGTTGCTGGTTTTAATTCCTGCTAATAACTGAAAATTAACTGTGTGGCCTGGGTAGGAGTCAGTTTCTAGAATCCTTAAGGAACAAAGAGGCTAAGAAAGCAAATCATTTGCTTTGGTGGTTCTCAACCAGGAGTGATTTTTGTCCCCAAGGGACATTCAGCAATGTGTGGAGACATTTTCTTTTTTTTTTTTAATTGTGTTAAAATAAAGATAACATACAATTTACCATTTTTAGGTGCTGAGTTCAGTAGTATCAAGTACATTTACATTGTTGTGCAATTTCCAGATTTTTCATCTTGAAAAACTGGAACTCTATAACCATTAAATAACTTCCTATTCTCTTCTTCCCCCTCCCCAGCCTCTGTTCTATTTTCCATCTCTATGAGTTTGACTACGCTAGGTATCTCACAGAAGTGGAATTATACAATGTTTGTCCTTTGGTTGACTGGTTTATTTCATTTCCCATGATGTCCTCTAGATTCATCTATGTTGTAGCATGTAACAGGCTTTTCTTCTTTTTAAAACTGAATGATATTCCACTGTACGTATACACCACATCTCGTTTATCCACTCATCCACTGATGGACATTTGGGTTGCTTCCACCTTTTAGCTATTGGGACTAATGCTGCTCTTAACATGGATGTGCTCATATCTTTCTGAGGCCCTGCTGAGGCCCTACTTTCAATTCTTTTGGGTATAAACCCAAAAGTAGAATTGCTGGATTATATGGTAGTTCTCTGTGTAACATTTTTTAAAAAGGATTTTATTTGTCAAAGAGAGAGTGAGTGAGTGCACAAGCAGGGGGAAGTGGTAGGCAGAGCTCGATGCGGGACTCGATCCGAGGGTCCCGGGATCATGACCTGAGCCGAAGGCAGACGCTTCACCGACTGAGCCACCCAGGCGCCCCATGTGTGCATTTTTTGAGAAACTGCTGTGCTCTTTTCCACAGAGGACACACCATTTTACATTCTCACCCACAGCACACAGAGACTCCAATTTCTTCGCTTCCTCACCCACCCCAGTTATGTTTGTTTTGGTGTTTTTTTTTGATAGTAGCCATCCTAATGGGCATGATGCATGGAGAGATTTTTGGCGGTCACAACCCAGGGGGAGGAGAGCTACTGACATCTAGTGCATAGAGAGGTGAGTGATGTCCTACAAGGCACATCCTACAAGGCACGGGACAGTCCTCTGCCACCAACAATAAACTGGTCCCAAACGTCAATAGTGCTGAGGTTGAAAAATCCTGATTGACACAATCAGGTTCACCCTTCATGGTAAACCTCATCCCCCGACACGTGTAGCCTGTCTTCTTTGTTGAGATGCTCAAAGGCAACAATTTCAAGAAATCTGGAAAGGGAGGGAGGACTGAGAAGATTGGCAACACTTCTTTTATTCAAATTTTATTGGAAGTTTACAAATGTATTACAGACATCAGTAAAACATATCCATTTTACAGGGCACGGATCTCAAGCAAAGTGTTCACA